AAAAAAATAAATAAATAAATTATATAATAATAAAAAAAATGAAAAAAAAATTCTGGCAAATAGGGGCTGGGGCTGTGGTTCAGTGGTAGAGCACTCACTCCCCTGCCATGTGTGAGGCACTGAGTTTGATCCTCAGCACCACAGAAAAAATGAATAAAAATAAAGTCATTGTGTCTATGTACAACCAAAGAAAAATATTTTTTTTAAAAATTTCTGGCATATAGCATACAAAAATATTTTTAAAAGATACTGCACCATGATAAAGTGGGGTTTCTCCCAGGGATGCAAGGTTGGTTTAACACATGGAAATCAATAAACATAATTTATCATACAAATGAAATTGAAGATAAGAGTCATATGATTATCTTGATAGATGCAGAAAAAGCATTTAACAAAATCCATGCTCAAAACATTTGGAAAACTAGGGATGGTAGGAACATACCCTGACTCTGTTAGAGACATCTATGCCAAACCCATGGCCAGCATCATTCCAGATGGAGAAAAATTCAAAGCATTCCCTCTAAAACCTAGAGCCCCACAGGGATGCCCTCTTTCACCATTTCAATTCCACATCTAACTGCTAGCCAGAGCTGTTAGAGAGAAGAAAATTAAAGGGATACAAATGGGAAAAGAAGAACTCAAACGATCACTATTTTCTGACAATATGATTCTATATCTGGAAGATCAAAAAAAATCCACTGGAAATCTTCTAGAACTCATAAGTGAATTCAGTAAAATGGCATGATATAAACTGAAGACCCATAAATCCAATGTGTTCCCACAGATCTCTGATGAATCCTCTGAAATAGAAATTGGGGAAACTACCCCAATCACAATAGGCTCAGAAAGAAAAATAAAATATTTGCAAATTAATTCAACCAAAGAGGTGAGATACCTCCACAGTCAAACAACAGAACAGTAAGAAGAGAAACTGAGGAAGGCCATTGAAGACCAAGGCATCTCCCATGTTCTTGGGTGGGCAGAATTAATCTTGGGCCATTGTGACAATGGCCCTACTGCCAAAAGCACTGTACAGATTGAATGAAATTCCTATTGAAACCCCAATGCTGTTCTGCATAGAACTAGAACAAGATGTCATGAAATTCATTTGGAAAAATAAGAGGCCCTGAACAGCAAAAGCAATCCTCACCAATAATAAGGTCAAAGTAGGCATCATAATACCCATCCCTGAATCACACCACAGTGCTACAGTAACAAAAATGGCATGGTTGTGGCATGAAGACAGACAGACAGACCAACAAAACAAGATAGAAGACACACAGAAACCCACATAGACACAGTTCTCTCACACTAGACAAAGGCACCAGAAATACATGGGAGCAAAGAGCCTCTTCAATAAATGGTGCTGGGAAACCAGGAAATCCATCTGCAGCAAAGTGAAATTGAACCCCTCCCTCTTACCCTACACAAAACTCAACTCAAAGTGAATCAAGGACTTTAGCAGTAAAGCAGAGACCCTGAACCTAATGGAAGAAGAAATTAGCCCCAAACCTCCACCGTGGAGCTGATTTCCTTAAC